TGTGCAGCAGGACACCATCATTTTATAATGTAAGTAAAGTGAGTTTTGTCAAAGGCAGTGTGAGGCAACCTAGCAATGTAAATTAATTAATTAAAATGCCTCACAAAAGTCATGTAACTACTTGCAAAAGAGGCAGCTGAAACAGGAAATAAATAAAAAGCATCTGTGCAACATTTTAGGGACACTGATTTGGAGGGACTAATGAAAATCACTGGGAAGGTTCACTCTGAATAAATCATTCAACTCCAAGAACATGTGTACTCCTAATTACGGAAATACGCTCTGTAGCTGGCTCTAAACTGCAGGAATCATAGGAGATTCAGGAAGACAATGCCAGAAATACAAGACACAACTTCTGGAGCTGCATCTACATTTTAAAAAAAGACCGTCTTCTGTTTGTGCTTGATGTAGACAAAAATTTATGGCCCTCTGGGTCACAGTGGCTTTGTCCTTTCTAGAAGTCCTGGCAAAGGGAAACATAAAAGCTTTCACTTGCCACAGAGAAAGAGAAGGTCTGAGGCAAACCTAAGCCCAGAAGAGAATGAATTTCACAGTTTCAGCTGGAACTCCGAGAGAGCTCTGCTGCCTACATGGAAAATGTACCTGCAGAGAGGAACTGTCCCCAACTCGTGAAGAGCAGGGTTGTCATTTGCAGACTTCGTGCTGAAGCAGGAAACAGTCTTTCTGTCAACCTAAGCTGGGGCCATTGTGAAAATACAGGACAAGACCTTGTGCTCAGGACAGTACCTTCAGAGAAGCCAGTTCAGAATGCAGACAACAGATTAGATGTATTTGCAGAAGATGTGCTGCAGCCTTCCGGTATCAGCCACCACCACCTGATGGCTTCCTGGCCTGAGGTGTCACACACTCTTGTGAACCAGTTGTAAGTATTGAAGCATCTGCCAGGTCAGAAAAATATCTTGTAGCTAGCTCACAATAAAAAGCCTGCACTGAATGAAGGTTAGGAAGGGTACATACAGGAGGTCAGGGAGGCTCCCCAACTCCAGCTGTGAATGCACACAGGGATTTTTCACAGGAGCAGCAAAATTTTCTGTTTGGTCCTATCTACCCATCATTATCACCTTCACTTTGCTCGCATTCAGCAATAGTGTTTTCATTTCATCCATGAAGAAGCTCACTAAGGTTAGAAGATGCCTCAACTGTGGCAAGGTGACCATGTATGGTGTGCAAGAGGCAGGGCTGCATGCACCTGAATATGGCTGGTACTTGCCTCTCTTGTGACTGACAAAGCCACATTCAGTGCTTGTGGATGCTTTTATATGGCCAGAGGCTAAATGAATCCTTATGGAACAGAGATCTGGATTTGTTTAGCCTGGAGAAGCAAAGCCTGAGGAGACACTAATAAGCAGCTTCCTGCTGCCTACCTGGATGCTACAGAAAAGATAGAACCAGATTCATCTGGGAGGCATGCAGCAAAACGACAAGGGGCAGTGAACCAAAATCATCCTGATATAACTTCAAATTCATCCCTGCTTACAGCAAGAAGTCAGACCACAGACCTCTCTAGGTTCCTTTGCACCTCGGTTTTTTATGGTTCTGTGACTACAGGTGACAGTATGCAGCCATGTTCCTTAAACCCATGTTGGTTAGCAGTTAACTTCTGTTGTGGTGCATGATGGATTTCAGCTTTTCCATACCAGTGAGCTTTAAAAAAAAAAAAGCAATTGCTATTAAACTTCCAATTTTCTCACTGTCCGCATGGCCTGAATCAGTACTTCAGAAACTTCGAATGACAACTAAAGAAGATCTATTTTAATGCAGTCAACACAATGGAAACTAATCGTAGTGAAGAAATGCCGTACACCACTGCAACACTTTAAATATGAATAACTTGTGACAGTCACGCATCTAATAACATGCAGTTGCAGTCCCTGCTCAGCAGCTATGGAAGGTATTATAACATGACTAGAGGTGGAAATAAGTAAGACCCTGTTTATGTGCGGTTTTCCCTATATCAGTCTATTTCTTCCGTGATGGAAAAGCCTATGGATCTGTTTAAATACAGGCTTTTGGTAAATGAAAGGAAACCCAAACAGCTGGTACTGGGGAGTCTGAGTGTCTCTTTCAAGCAGTTTCCCTGCAGGAATCTGTGCAAGGTGTTTTTGGTAAAATAAGGAAAAAGTCTGAGGTTCCTTGGGCTTAATTCAGTAATTATGAGTTAGGGCCATCTTGGGAAGGAGAAAAAAAAAAAGAAAACAGACCACCCCTCCCCCCCCAAAACCTAGCTTTCTGAATCGAATATACTTGGAAAAAAAAAAATCTGCGTGGGCTTCCACGTTCAAGAAAATAAAGACATCTTCCAAACACTTGGTCTTTTTTCCAAAGAAATTTCCTGACTGACATATGTAAGATCGATGAAACAATACCACTTAATAATACAATTGCTACTGCTGCAGTAATGAAATTGTAAGTAGAAAGACAGCAGGCAGAAGACCTCAGATTTTCACTTGAAACAAAATATTCAGCCTTATTTAGCCTGGGTTGGGAGTTTTTTTCCTATGTCAGGTTTTTGAGTGGAAGAGTAGCCCCACTTGTCAATCAGCTAACTTGCAGTGCTAATAGATTCTGGTGTTTAGGGGGTCAGCGCAGAATTTAATTTAACAACTTACAATACGCCCACATGCCCAGAAAATGTGGACAGCTTGATAGGGTTCACTGAGCCAAAGAAGTAAGACCAAAACAGTGCATTAATGTATAGGGGAAGAATAGTTGCAATCAGTTCCCTTGTGAATTGGACAGAGAACTTGGAGATGAAGCAATTATCAGCCATCGGGGATTAATAGTAAAGTGTGAATGCCAAGCTGTATATGTTAGGGGCAGAATATGTTGCCTATAGAAAACAACAAAGAGCGTTTCTTACTATTAAGTGAGATTAAACGTAATGGCCTGATTTAATCACAAAGGCAGAATTAAATTCAGATGGCAACTTCAAAGTGGACACATGCACAGAGCCTACTGCATACATTTACATATAGCTGGCATAGCTTGGCTTGCATCACAATGGAAGAAAGTTTCTTTGGCCACTTAAACAATTTTCTATTCTCGGCTTTTTGTTAACATTCACTGTATTTAGCACTAAATTGCTTTTAGTTAATAAGATGGAGCTAAGAGTTATATTTATTCATGGAAGCTGTATTTTTTAATTCCTTCAAGTAAAAAAAAAATCCACAAAAACCCAACAAAGCAAAACAACAATAAAAAAAACCCAACCCACAGCAAAGGGTCAGCAAGAACAGAAAGGCTGTAATCAGATTGCAACAAAAAGCTGCTGTCCCAACCTACCCATTTTTGCCAGCACAGAGAGATGTCACATGCTGCCAGGCCCAAGTGTGACACCTGACATGGCATGCGCTTCCCTTCCTCCCTCCTCCCAGGGCTCCCATGCCATCATCACACTGTTCAGGCATGTCCCCTTTCTTTTACAAAGCCATGAGAGGCACCAATGAGGACATGCGGGGCCACCTTCCCCAGCCCCAGGTTTCCTTCTTCACCCAGAAACCTACTGCTGAAAGCTGCAGGACCGTGCCTTACATTGCCAGAGCTCAACCTGCTTCACTTGTTAAAAAATTTTTTGCTGAACCCAGCTCGTCATCCAAAGCTGTTTCCAGGCACTTCCACCACCGGGCTGGCCAAGAGCAGCAGGCCCTGCTGGACCTAGTGTCTCTGGGATAACAGCCCTGTTTACCCAGAGTTGGTCTCAATTTGTCTGGGCTGGAGATCAAGAGAGAGCATACACAATGTTCAACGCTTAGACAAGACTCTTCATGTTGAACCCCCACTCATTTTTGACAGTTTTTCATGGCTTGCTTTCCCTGGTGTTCACCCCATGGGCATGTTAGGCACCCTCAGCCTAAATGCAAGTCCACTCTTCCGCTGAGAAACAAGTTGCCTGAATTTACCATGCAGGGTTACTGCAGTGGAGCCAAAGGACTATAAAATCCCATTCTAGCTTATTTCACAGTCATGAGGTGAAAGCATGCTCAGCCTTTGGTCTGAACATGAAACACAGCTATAAGCCTTCCTTCCAAAACTCCCCTGTGACTGGCTGGCAGAGCAGCAGTGTTGTGGCACTACGTCAGATGTGGCAGTTGGATTGTGTTGGCATAGAGCACCAACAGCACCCTCCGTAGAAATAAGGAGAAGAAAAAAGATTAGGACCTATTGAGTCATGCTCAATGAGACTGAGATCACTGAGGTATCTAAACCATCAGTGAGATTATAACAGGAAACCTAAAATATCAGTGCTCTATGCTGAGCCAAAGCAGCTCACAGGGAGAGAAGCAGCAGCTTGGCAGAACTGCTCATTCAAGCGCCAGCTAACTTCACATGGGATGAATCTCCAAGAAAACACTTTGAAGCTTCAAAGATGCCCTCAGGCAGGTTTTGCCTTCAACACACGGCATACAAGGCTATCCTCACAGCACAGAGCCTAGAGTCCAGCTCCATCCCAAAAATGCTAAGAGAGACCAGCATGCTGTGCTCACTTGCTACCTAGGCCCACAAGCTCCCTTCCCCGAGGATATCAATTGAGAAAATAAAGGAAAAGACATCTTCTGTTAGTACACAGCAATATCAGTGACATTGGTGGCCAAAGACCCAATAATCATGGCCATGATCAGCTCCCCCAGAGTGACTCCTTTGGAGTCTTGTCCTCCATGTACTTCTGTCCCCTTGAGGGGCCTGTCTGAGCCCTGCTCCATGTCTCTGGCCACATCCTCAGGCTTAGGCCACCCAGATCCCTGCTCCTCAGTGTTCCCAACCACAGATCCTGGATGAAGTCCAGGGCAGTTGCTAAGCCAGAGCTGGGAGTGCAGCTGACAAAAAAACCTTCATACTCCAAAGACTGGCTGTAAAAGGAAAAGAGACGAAACAGGCCAGGAGGGAGAAGGTATTTCAGAAACACCTTATTTTCCCCCAGACAGCTGTGAGCAGTGGTGCACTGTTGGCACTAAGAAATGGTAACTGCTTAGTTGGCACTAAGAAATGGTAACTGCTCCTAGGAGGCAGATGGCAGAAATACAACCGTTCCCCTCACCTCTTACCGTCCCACTGAGTACAACCCACCCAGCTCTAACCCCAAGAAGATGATCATGTCAAGGAAGTACCTATTGCTGGTGAGGTCCAGGCCATGGCAGGAGAAGGCAAAGCCACACAAATGGCAGCTGCCCATCTCCCACACCGAGCAAGCAGAGGAGACCCTCTTCCATGCACCACTCCAGCCGTTAGGTTAACAGAGAATATAGCACCCTCTGTGGCACAGGATGGCAAAATTTACCAAGATGCCACAGTTTGTTCAGTGGCTTTTTACAGGGTCTGTTTTGATATTCCTTCTGGGAATGAGGAAAAGCCACAGTGCCTTTAAAACATGTTATCTAGCAGGGAAGGTCTAAAATCCCTGGCCCTTCTTCCATTGGCCTTCCACATAAAATCTGCCAAGGGCACATCTAAATAAGGGAGGCACAAAGTGAAGATATGGGAGCAGCTAATTTTCTGCCCAGTCACCCACCACCCAGGGTGAGCAGCAGCCCTCTGCCTTCTGTCCTGGGGCCACTTTAATGCCACTGGGATGGGAACCTCTGCTTCAAAGGAGGTAAGACATTTCAGACCCTCCACTGCTCATGGAGAAACAGCTTTCACTCCTTGCTCCCTTAAGGTTGGCAGGCTGATGGCTCTAATGACACAGCCCAAATCCTCTCACTTTGAAAAGAGGAAGACCAATTTCCCAGAACAAAAGCCTGAAGTACTAGTGTGACAGGTCACTAAACATGATCATCTCCTGCTCTGGGTAAGAGCTTTGAAGAGGGATCCTGCTAAGTAGGGACAGAATACAGGACAAGGTCTTAACCTCCGCCTTCGCCTTCGGACACTGGGATCGGCACATAAAGCATCTCGAGTGCCAGAGGGGGGGATGCTGAGAGCGGGAGGTGTCAGCCAGGGGCTTCAGCATGTTTCTCAGGCAACTGCAGGGGGAATGTCACAGCTATAGCAACTGGCTCTCCAGTGGCCTGGAGGGGAAAGGGGCCAGCAGCAGCACAGCCATTGTAGCCTTAAGTGAAAGGTCAGGCCATTTCTTTTTTCACTGGTCAGCTGTAAATTTCCCATCAGCTATGATTTACGTGACTGTGCCTCTACCTGCCCTCTGGCTGGTGTCTTGGCAATGCACAGCTACATGCATTTGTGCTGTGCCCTCCCCTGTGTCCTGTCTCAGCCTCTCCAGCCCTTCACTTTTGCCTCAGGCCTTGGCTAAGTAGCTACAAGGTCTCCTTCCCACACAGCCTCTTCCCCTAGACAACCATGAAGGTTGGGCAGTCATCACACCTGCTTTTAACCATGCAAAAATTAAGTGCCTGGCCTGAACTAGGTGTCCTGTCTCTTTTTTGCACTTATGGGAGGTGCAGAAACACCCACCCTTCCTTAGGATGGATGAGAGGACACAGGAGCTCTGAAGAAGATGAGATAAAACCTGCCCTGTGTTTCCTTCCTGTCTCAGCTAATGGCGTTGCTTCACTCCACTTCCTGCCCCGAGAAGCATTCTCTTCTCTTTCATCCACCAAGACTGGGATGTGAGGATGGGTGGGATCTGAGAAAAAAGCATCCCAGCATCCCACCATCAAGTCACCAACATGATTTTGAGGCCTCCTTCTTCTGCTCATGCAGTTAGTTGCTGGGGTAATTTCAGTGGCTGGGAAAACAGGTCCATAAAACCTTACCCATCTCAAACTGGTACCTCACTCCTCCCCAGATAAACTCTGACTGCAAACAGCCAGCTGGGTTTTGGGCTGAGCAGCCAAGCAGTGCTCAGTGCTTCACCACACAGCTGGCCTGTGCCAAGGCTGGCTTGGGAATCCCTCCTACACCCTCCCAGATTTCACATGGACCAGCCTGCAAGGGAGAACCAAAACTGAAGTGAGCCTGCATCCCCATCCCAGTTAACCTGATGTGCTCATTTAGGCCTGGTGCAGGTTTCTTTCTCCTTTGCTTCTCTCTCTAATACAGAGCAAATGCTGCTTTGCCACATCAGAAAGCTCCTGAGAGGGCTGGTATCGGCATTGCTTCTGGGGAATGGAGGGCAGGTGGTAAATAGTCTGATAGTTGTATTTTTCAGGAGCAGCAGCATCTCTAGGGCAAGCACATGGGTCTCCTAGAGGAGGCACACCACCTTCTCACCACAGTTTTACGAGGTGGAGCAAGCTGCTGTCATGGTTTCATGTGCTCAAAAAGCATGCAAAAACATAATGTTTATATCCCACAAGTAAATAAACTTCACACTTTTCACAGTAATAATGTGGGCTGTGCGCTGAGCCAGAGCACAGACCTGATTCTCCATCCATCCTCTTCTGTAGATGTACTGAGATTGCACCTGGAAGAAATCACAATCTTTGGTTAGTAAGACAGGCAGTCAGCAGCAAGGTTTTGCAGCATCCCGCTGTCTGTAACTGCCAAAAATAAGTTGTATGGGTTTCCTTTCTCTGTACCAAGAATAAATATTCTGCCAGCTCATTAACTATTGCCACTGGTTCAACGAGCTTTGGATTGGGTTCATAATCATGCAGACAGTAACAGCACTGAAACTCGGGATATTTAATTCTCCCCAGAGGTTCTGCTATATGATGGATGAGTTTTATTTATCACTGTCAAGCATGCAAGTATGCCTTTAAATTATACCGAGGACATGAATATGCAGCAGAGAGAAAGGTGCTGGAATACGGAATGTATAGAGGTGATCAAAGAAAAACAACATCACTTAGAAGTTTAAAAGGGATATTCTAGCCTTCATTAAGAAATGGCTTTCAAATTATTTGAAAAACACTATGAATACTCATGAGACTAAAAAGATTTAGAGCACAATGTTCAAAGGACACTGTACAAGCTATTTGTGTAAATGATTTCTTCTAGTTCTTTGGCCGAGCATCTCTCATCTTGTATGCCTGGAAACTTGGGATTATGAATTCAATTGTTGTGAGAGGAGGAATTATTTAGAAAATACCAAATCCCTCTTACATGTTTCACTTCACCCTGAAGGACAGTCATAGCCAGCACAGGCTACGCACAGGTCTCAGCTTTACTGCTAATATCCAGAGCCTGAAATTTCAAGCAACGAGGGAGCAGGGGGGGGAAGAAAGCGGTGCCCTTTGGGAGGGGGCAGGTGAATGAAAGAGGCGGAGCAGGGCGTCTTTAGGCTGGTGACTTCTCAGCAGTGCTTCCTCTCCTCCTTTTTCATAAGCACTCCGGAACAAGCACCGTTTAAGCTAAAACTTACCCATTCCTTCGAGCCACTTAGTTTATTAAACCCCAGTCCTCCTGCTCCAAGGTCTAGATGTCTTTCTGAAACCAGCTGATCAGAAGGTTCCTCTGTCCCCCCACCACAGGGTCTCCTACCTGCTGGCAGCAAACCAAATCCTGCCCACAGGCTCCTGTGGAGGCACTCATAAACCTTGGCCTACCCAGCACTGTGCCTACTCTTCCCATTCTGAGTACCCAGCACCTCCCCAGAACCAGCGCAGTCAGGACTTAATTTTTACTAAGGTGTCACTTGGGCTCTTCCAGCTGCTGCTTACTGCAGTTATCTCATTTACCCAGAGAAATCCAGGCTATGTTAAAGGGAAGTAGTCAACTCAAGTGGAGATTTTCCCCCACAAGCAGCAGAAACAGCAGCAGTGAGGCTTCAGGCTCTGGCTCTCTGTACTGCTCCCAAATGCTTTACCTCTGCTTGCACTGGAGGACTAATGTTCAAAACCTCCTGCCACCAGCAGCCCAGCCTTGCCCTCCCATCTGCTCCCCTTTTTCTTTATGAAGGCAAATATAGTGTCAGATAAAAAGAAAAAACCCACAATAAAAAAAAAAATTAAAAAGAGAAAAGTGCATGCAGACACTAGTTTTAATGACTGCATCGTTAAGTGGCAGCCGATCTCCATTTCATGCATGTTCATTAATCCGCAGCCGCGCTCCCTTTCCCATATGGCTTTGTTTCTGTACATACAGTTGGAGGGAGGCGGGAGAGAGGGTGAGCAGGGGAAAAAGAGGGGGGAGTTGTCGAGATCTTGATGATTTCATATCGTCATAGGTTATTGCTGGTGCCTTGCCAAAGCCGTCAAGCCGAACCATCTGGGTTTGGGAAGGTTCTGCACTTCCCAGGGCTGGGCTCCATATGGGCGGCGCGGCGGGCGTCCCTGCTCTCTCCTGGCCCGCTGTGAATCACACTGATTGTTATTCAGGTGGGATGGCCCGGTCATGAACTGCACTAATCAAAAAACAAACTGCACCAAAACACTGAGGCTCACACACTGGCTCGGGCCTCCCCCTGACCTCTGTTAACCAGCCGCTTCCAATGGATGTAATGCAGGTTGTTCTTCTGGATTTTTGCACCTTCCACAGTTACCAGACATCTGTGTAAATCCCCACCCCCTCGTGTTGGGCATCAGGGTCAGTAATGTTCCACAATTCAACGTGGGAAGTCTCACTGAGGAAGTACCAGGCCATAAATTTCCTTCAACAAGAGCCACCTATCAAGCTAAGCCTTGTTAAGAAGCTTCCCAGATATTAATCACAATAAAGGCCGCCGCTCCTGTACCGTTGTGTCAAGAGAATGAAACAGTCGGAGCCTGCAGATAAAGGTTTCTCACTTCTTTACCCTTTAATATTGGAACAGTTGTCATTTCACAGGCAATGCCTGCATGCTGGTGAGCAATCACCCCTTTGCTTTAAGCTTGTCACGCCATGAAAAGCTGCTCAACTCACGCTGGCAGACTCCACTCTTTCCACAGGACAACGGCCTTATCTGCACCAGTGCACACTGTATAAAGTTCCCGCTGCACCTCGTGGCTGTGTAATCAGGTAAACCCAGCATGCAACTGCACCCCAAAGTCACTTTTATTTGCCAGGGTTGCAGTGCCCCCAGCGCTGCAGTTGCAATGCCATCAGTTACTCCACACTTGTGTTTGCATGTGTGTGTGTTTGCATGCATGAATGTTTGTGTGTGTGTGTGCATCTGCCAATGTGAGGGAGTTCTGCAGGCCTTAGGATGCCACAGCTGAGGACAGCATTTGAGGTTTGTGCTGGTGCTGGTTCATGTCCGGAGCAGGGCTTTGCCCCCATGTTTGCAGTCTCCCCCAGCAAAGCATGCCCCAGCATTTGCTATATTTGTTCCCACCTCAGAATTCAAAAGAGGATAAAACACCTTGTTTACAAGAGATCATACTGCTGTGGGAATGTAACTTCTGATGGCTGGTTTCCTTTATTCCTAAATGAGAGGGTATATCAGGACTGCTAGAGGCCAAAGAAAATACAGCAGAGCATTTAAGGGCTTGGGGATCCATTTTCCTTGGATAATTTTTATTATTTTAAAAATTATTGGTCTGGTTTGAGGACTAAAGGACTGCTCAGAAGTACACAGACTCCTGCCTGCCAGGTACAACTAAAGAAAAGAGGTGGCTGGGGTGGAAAAGAATAGGGCAATGCACAAGCAAAACAAGGTGTTTGTCTGAAAAGAAACAACCCAAGCCTTACTCTTTTCCAGACAAAGCCGTGGTCCTTCAAAGACCTACATGTGCACTGTACTTGTGCGGGTGAACAGCCAGCCCATTGATTTCAGAGGTGGTAGGTGCGCTGTGCAAAGTCAGAGCAGCCCCCGACCTTTGCAGAACTGTAGCCTAAAATGAATTTATGCTCTTTTAATGAGATAAAGGCAGAAGGGGAGAACATAACTCAGGGAGACAGTTCTGCTCCATCATTCCCTCCTCAGTTAAGAGCAACTTTTTTCCCTCAGAAAAAAAGCAGTGAAAGCTTAAGCCCTTGAAGCACTTGTAAGTAAGAGCTTCATCCCTTTCCTTAGACAGAGAGCAGCTGGCTGGGGTAAGGTGCAGCCTTGCCAGCCTATGAAGAGGATGCTACAGTGCTCACAGAGCAGACCTGGTTTCTGAAGGAAAAGAAATAAATCATAGAATCAACTAGGTTGGAAAAGCCCTTTAAGATCATCGAGCCGAACCGAATGTTAGGTTGTCAGGACTGTCAAGCCCACCACTAAACCATTTCACTAAGGGCAAAACGGTCTCCCCTCATGGCTGCCCTTCATGACTTCCCCTCATGATCTCCAGTCACAGCCACCCCTCATCTGCCCCTTCACAGTGGTCCCACACGATATAGCTGCTGCCCCTACCCCTCATGGACATGCCTCATCTCCCCTCAAGCTCTCTCCTCATGTCCAACCCTCACAGTCCATGGCTGCCCCTGCTCTCACCTCATGATCTCCCCTCACAGCCACCCCACCTCTCCCTTCATGATTTTCCCCCATGGCTGTCCCTGTTCTTCCCTCGCGACCTCCCCTCACCCCTCATGGCCGCCTCTCCTATCCCCTCACAATCTCCTTTCTCTACTGCCCCACACCTCCCCTCATGATCTTCCCTTTCTGGCATTTTTGCTTGGGAATGGGAGGTTTTTCAGATCCATGCATGCAACATGCACCCATTGGGTTCGTGATGCAGGTGCAGGGAAATTCAGGAGCCTCCAGAGCTCCAGAATTTCAGAGCTACCCTCTGTCTGTCGTGGGAACATGAGTGGTTTGCTCTGCTAAACCCACACCTGTCCCTGACAGAAAAAAGGGGCTCCCCTTTTCATGCAGCTTGGAAAACTGCTTGATCCCCTGGGCTGACTCTAATGGGAAGAGGCACACACGTGCCCCTCTGCCAAGCCAGAGGTGCTTCCCAGGGCACCTCTGTGTCTACGGGACACGGGTCACACTGGCTCCCATCGTGTCTGGGGTGGTGGGTGAAGCAGTATGTCACGATAGCCCTGGCTATGCCTGACAGCGCTGCAAAGCGAGGGTCTCCCTTCATTAGCCCATTGAGGAATGCGGGCTGATGCCACATCCCCTTTTTACCCCCACAGCTCTGTTTTTGTGGGGTTGGCAGAAACTGACACTTTTTCTTTTGCTTAATTAAGTTGTTCAGAAGAAGGCTGGTCAAACAGTTGCGTCTACGTGGGGAGTCTTGAAGAGAAGAGAAAGCGGTGGGCGTTGCCAACATAAAAAGGGGGATTCTGTTATTGTTTGGGTGTAGACGGGTCATTTTTTCAAAGTTACTGCTGCCTGAGTGACCACAACCCTGCAAGCAGCAGCAATGAAAGGACATTAAAGCTGCTAAATGCAGCTACCTTGGGCTCCAAAGTGTAAGGGGAAAAAAGAAAGAAAGAAAAAAAAAGGCCAAAAAAAAAAAAAAAAGGAACCAGAAAGCAGAAGCAGTTATTTTCTTTCTCCAGAGAAAACGTGAACTGATTTCCATACGGTGCAGTGAGAATTGCAGCGGGTCCCTCTGAGCGTCCTGTTGCAGGGGAAAAGATGACAAAGCTGGTGCCAGGAAAGCTCTGATAGGCACCCTACTAACTGTCCATCCACATCCCCGCGTTAACAGCTCATTTGGTATTCATCCCCAGCAGAGGAAAAAGCCCTAACAACAATTACCAACCTCTTTAAGTCCACCTGGCTTTCAGCAGAAGCCTGCCTGTGTTTCCAAAAACCATTAGTATCCCAAATCTGAGGGGTGGTTCTTGTATTTTGGCAGTCCAAAGGCAGGCCTTTGACCCTCAAAGCTCAGCATTACACATGGCTGTGGTGTCTAAACGCTGCCTCATGCTCTGAAATATTTACTGACATTTTACCACACGGTTTCAAATCCAGCAGGACCTCGCTTCTCCTAATGCAAGCGACTGAGCAAAGTGCAGATCTTACCTCCACCGGCACAGCTCTCTTCAGGCAGCCTCAAAAACCCTGACTTAGCCATCACTGTGGTGTGAAGTTAGGCTTATGGTGCACAACATGTTGTTTAGCCACAGTTTGCCACTTGGCCAGTACCCATGGGTTATGACTTTATAGCCATGCAATTGCACCTGATAGAGTCAGATACACATGGTAGGCCCAGCACTGGCATCAGGCTAGGGATTTTTAATTGAGACCATGGATCAGAGGAGGATGCCTGCTGCCCCAATAGCAGTCAGAGCTGTTTTGGGTTGTGGTGCAGTCTCAGCAGTGAGCTCTCTGGGAGCTGGAGGGCCATATCTCTATGCAGTCCACAGACCCACCACTCAGACACCACAGCCTCGAGTGTTTAGCTGTATAAAACTGAGGCTGTTACGCAGGACTTGTAAGGGTCCACACCTTCCTTTGACTAAAAGTTAGTGAGGAATATATGTCTTTGATCCACAAGCCTGTTTGCAAAACCCAGTGATTTTCCCTTCCAGGGTCTAGATTCAGGCTGAAGGTCCCAAATTTCCCTGAATTTGCAGGCCTTCTCTAAAGAGCACTCCAAAATGCCTCTCTCCATCTCCTTCCCACTGCAGACTTAAGCAACCAAAACACCCAGTGTCCTCCATCCCCACCCCACCAGACCTCCAGATCCCACTCTAGGGTCTGCTCCATGGGGGGCACACAGGAGACCCACAGCTGCTCCTGATGGCTGCAGCAACCAGCATTTCTCTTTGACAACCAGTACACAGCTGGCAACTTTGCTTTATTCTAGGTGTCTCTCCTTCCTTCCTTCCTTCCTTCCTCCCTCCCTCCCTCCCTCCCTCACCGGCTGGAGTCGGTCACAGGTTTTCATGCGGTGCATGCACAGCCCCTCGCAGCCGTGCACTCCAGCTGCTGGCAAGAAAGAGCCTTTTTGTTCGGCTGAGACTCCACCGACATGATGTCTTTACTCCCAGGAAAACAGAAGGCCTTCCTTGACATGGGCAACCCCAAAAGGGTTGGGATGCTGAAGGGAAGGTCCTAAAAGACAGAAAGGAGGATTCACAAGGGCTGGATGGAAGCCATCGCACCATTCCTGGCACTGGCCCTTCCACATGGGGCTCTGCCGCCTGGCAGGACAAAGAGCGCGGTTTTCACCAGCCCCACGTTCTGCTGACGAACGCATAATAAACTGACAGAGGGAGACGAAGCAGCATTTCAAAGCCCCACGTGCGGAGGAGGTAGAGCATAGAGGGAGTGGGGATGGACACTTTCTGCAGGTGTTCGGCCAGTGTCCCCCCATTTGCATACATTTGCATACTGTCAAATAGTTGCCTGACAGACTCTCTGAGAAGGTCTGGACTGAACCCAAACCTGTCAGGGACTTTCTCCTTGCCAGTCAAGGTTGGCTTTGGTTGCAATTAGAGAGAGGAAAGAAATACTTCTGACATTGCCATACAGGAAACTATGGATGGGGTGAGTTTAAACAGAAAATGTATGTTTTCTTCAGGAAAAAAAACCTCTGAATTACTCTGCCAGGCCTGGGGGAGAAAAATGGGGAGAAAAATGAATTTTACCTCTTTGGTCTGGAGGAAAACACCTTTTTCCCTCTTCACTTGCTGGCCAGTGCTCTGTGTGTTACCAGCTCGTGGGAGAGCCACAGCCAAGGGAGAACTTTCAGGGGTACAAAACAATAAATTACCAGAGATGGACTTGGCAATGATCTACCTGCCCAGGCACCACACCTGTACAGGGACCTACAAGCAAGAAACCAAGGCATGATGCTCCTGAACCCCACAGCCATGGGTGCAGTCGTGGTGGAAGATGTTTGCCAGTGAGGGGGCAGAGGATGGAGGGGACACGAGTGCCTAGCAACATTAGACAATGGCAAGGCATGAAAATACCTCACGGATATTTACTAGGAGAAAAAAAACAGAAGAGACAATGAGGATATGTTTTGGAAGCCCACACCCCTTTTACTTGTTGTTTTACATATTCTTCCCTCAGCCGTGAAAATTTCATACTTCATCTTTACCCGGCAGTGGACACTAGAGTTTCACGAGCAGGGGACAATAGGTTCTGTTTATTCACCCACAATAAAGAGCCTGTTTAACTCTGGACTGCAAGTGGCTGAGCCATCTGGCCCATATCTTCACAGTAAAACATTGTCCATGACACAAAAAATGATTACATCCACAGGACAAACTAATGTGACCTCTAAATAAAGCCTTCCTCTGAAGCTATGATATCATACTGCAGAGGGGACACCGGCACAATTGAATCTGGTCACCCAGAGCACAAGTGAGATAGGACTATTTAAATCCAATTTTACAGGAGACTTTTTGTCCTCTGTGGCAAACCACCCAGATCCGACGACAGCATTGAAACATCTTTTTTTATGCACTCTTAAGGCAACAGAGCGGTTCTGTCTGGCCTTGGCAGTCCTCTTCAGCTTGCCCCGGGCCCAGGAAGCACCCGTCCATTTTCAGAGCCAGCACCTGCAAGCTTTTCTTCCAACAGCATTTTACTGATGGAGCACCACCTGCACTGGCCCCCTTCTCCTTTTCCCCCCCTCCGATAGTGGGGAAACAAGCATCTCTTTCTGCTCAGTGCCAGTCGGAAAAGTCCAAGTCTGCCACAGCCTCACAAACAGTTTCTGAGCTTGAACAAGGCGCCCTCAGCCCTGCTGTACCTGAATAGCAGCTTCATGGGGCAAAACAAGGACCTGGGCAAAGGGCCCATCTCAATAGCAGGAACGTTGCTCTCTCAAAGAAGGCAGTTTATCTTTGCCGGTATGGTGCTCTTACCACTGTATCTCTTAGAGAAATGTTTGTAAAAGGGGATGATAGACCTAATTAAAGAAGTAATCCTTTTACAGGGACAACGCTACTGATGTGTGGATATTTACAGACTGTGGGAATGCTTCGCAGTAACCCCAATGATTAATATGAGCAGAACACCTGTTTTATGAAGCTGTATGTCTGTTTGGCTGGAAGGCACTCTGACAGGCAGGCAGGCTGAAGGGTATCGCTGCAGTGCTGCGTGATCGCAGGCATGCACGTCCCTTCCACTTACACAAGTGCTGGCTGCTGTTCCTTTTGCTGGGGCACTGCTGGCACTGGGGCAGGATCAGATCCATGGGCTTACAGGCACCAAAAGCAAAAGGAGGTCGGAGAGGATAGAAATGGAGAGGAGGCCTTTGCCAGTAAATTATTTCCCTGTGATAATTTTGATAAATTTGGGGTTTCCAGAAAGGAAAGCAAACCTTGTGCTAGACACATTAACAGAGATAACACCTGCCTGGGAAAGCACACTCTCCTCGCACAGGTCAAGCAGGCTTTGCAGCTAATTCATAGCATCAGAACTGCAACTATAATGAACTGAAAATAAAATCATGAGTAGGCTATCTTGCCCAGTTTTATCTTGGCTCTTTGGGACTGAAATCAGGACAGATTCAAACCTCTCTTTTCAAATTAGCAGAAATTCTTTTACCGTCCCCTCCAGCATAAAGTGCCTTTTTTATTAGCATGCTTAGCTTGAACACCTGAATACCCGAACTCTATCTTTTCATATGAAAATACAGTTTGCAGGCCCAATAGATAAAAAATAAAAAAATAAAAAAAAAATTGGTCACCAACATAGAGTTTTAAATAGCAAAGGCTCTTAATCCGCTGTGGAATTATAAACCTCGCACCCAAAGGATTAAACTTCTCCAACACAGATCATTAAATGGTGCCGCATTTTTGGCATGGCACTTCTGTTACCCACATAGGTTTCCAGACCCAGCCCTCTTAGCCACACAACACCTGGCATTAAAAATCCTGCAAGTTTCCTTGAAGCCCTGAAAAGTACCCTGAAAAATGCTGCAGAAGCTTTGGTCCTGGGGCTCAGTGCCAGTGCCACTGATCTGGGACCAGCAGGGAGCTTTCACTGATGCTTTCTTGTGTTGGGTCCATTGACCTACACAGGCAAGAACACAGTTCCCACTAAAAAGCAAATGTTCAAATTCATCCCAAACACAGCAATTATATACATATATATATGTACAGACACATGCATTCACAAAACTCCAACATTATCAGGTTGAAAGAAGATTATTCAAGTCCAAATGTTGGCTTCTCAGCAGAAAAATGCATTTGAATTTAAAAGACCATTTGCTGAAGGTATAATTATCAGTAGGATATATCAAGCTTTTTTTTTTTAAAGCAAGAGGTATATTGTTTTGCCAGAAAAAAGGCACGCTTTTGTTTTGCTGGCTCTTTACTTTCTTCTTCTTTTTCCTGTATTGAAGCAGAGATTTAAATACCTTGTTCCACCATCTCAAAGATTTATCTAGTAGGAAAACTCCCTGGAGAAAGTACATAGCTCCCCAAAGACAGTGATTTTTTTGTTTCTTTCAAACTTCTTTCATTTTAGCTCTTCCCTTTCTCTCTTTCTCTCATTTTAATCCCTTTGAACTGTAACACTGGATTTATTTGAGCCCTGCTTCTCCTCCCCTGTATGTTAGCAGTTATCTGCAGTAACTCCCACTACCTTGATAGAGTAATAGTGAGATAACTGGAAGGGGAAATCAGCCATGACTTTGCACTGAAGTTCAATTACATTTTTACACAGTGAAGTAGAATAAGAAACAAAATAAATAAAAAAGGGAGAAATGCCTTCTCCTTCACAGTCCTTCCTGCCACAAGCTTGCAGATACGGAGTGGGGGCAAAGCAGGCAGCAGTTCTCCTGCGCAGGGCAGGGAAAGATGTGCACTGGGGTTTAGCTAGCTATTAGCACACTAACTGTGTACAAACAAATAAAGCAGAGAAAGGGGAAGGGTAAATTTTGCTTTTCCTGTAAAATAATGAGCAGTTGGGATGGAGCTACCTCTCTTGCAAATTGAACTCCACCCATACTGTATTACAAATGAAATCACTGGGATTCATCACACCGGGCTTCAGGTGTACAATGGTTAGGTGCCCCAACCCACTGCAGCTCCCTTGACCACCAAAGAGAGAAGGTGCTTCTCACTTCACAACAGGTTTCCCAGGGAGGTGGTGGGAGGAAACTGGGGAAGAGGACTCCCTTATGAAGATGCCTAAT